TGTTGACAGGGATCCAGTTATATGTAATTCTCCAGAGTATGTGTAGAATTCATAGTGGGACTACAATTTATTTAGGGACTATTAAAGAGTATATTTCTTTCTATCTGGGAGGTACAAAATAGAATAATGTTTCTCTCTTTGCCACTATTAGCATAGTGTTTTCTTCTTTGCTAATTCAGTGCCTTATTCTCTTTTACAGAACTCTCAGTGAATATAACTTTCCACAGTTTCCGGAGACTCTGCATTATCTCTATAAGCTCTCAGTAGAAGGTCCTAGAAGGTCAGAAGACAGTGTCATCGTAGTAATATTTCTCACCGAAGTGAGTTTTGTAGACTGTGAACAGCTGTGTTCTCATTTCCTTTTCTTACCCCAATTTAAATCAAAATTCCAGTTTCTCATATTTTTCCCTCTGAATGTTGGTCCTTACCAAGACTTAAGATCATGAATGATTTCTGAAGTTGGATGGGGAGAGGTGTGGGGTTAGATCTGGGTTATGGAAGAGTTGTCCCTTCAGCTTTCACCAGCAGTTGGTTTTTCTCTGTTTCTAGGGGTGTGAATTTTTACAAACACTAATTATATTTTAGTACCAGTTTATATATTTCTGCATGATTGTTAAAGTATATTGAGGGATAATTGGGTTTAATAAAGATGGTAGTTAACATCTGGGATCTAGGCAGTACTTCTGACCATGTAGGGGGAGAAAGGAACTGGCTGAGTAACTGGGTAAAATGAAGATGTAGAACCATATTACTTTGTATATGAATATTGTGCCATGTATTGTAATACTATAGTGGAATCAAGCAAATTGACAAACTCTTGTTTACAAAAAATAAAGGCTTTATAACCTGAAATTATCAGAGTCAAATCTAATTGCTTTTCATAAAAATAGTAATATAATAGGCATGTATTACCTAAGGTGAAGTGCCCAATATTTTCAAAATTTGAGGTGATTTCAAACATCATAGTAAAATGGTTAATCAATTATGAAAAGTGTACTATTATACTATACCATCTACTTCTAAAGCTTTCAAAAGTATGCATAAATTTAACTGAACATTGCAATAGTCATCAATGATTTCAAATATGCTTAGTCTATTTTGACCTCTCATTAATTTTACTATGTGACTCATTATTTTTATTGAATTGACTATGCTTTGCCCAGTGTCTATTATTGGCTTATCAATCTTTAGTTGACTATTTATAGGTGGATTTCTTTTTTTCCCCCAAAAGTTATTGGGGCACAGGTGGTATTTGGTTACATGAGTAAATTCTTTAGTGGTGATTTGTGAGATTTTGGTGCATCCATCACCCAACAGCATACACTGTACAATATTTGTAGTCTGTTATCCCTCAGTTCTCTCCCACTCTTCCCCCCAAGTCCCCAAAGTCCATTGTATCATTCTTGTGCCTTTGCATCCTCATAGCTTAGCTCCCACATATCACATAGAACATACCATGTTTAGTTTTACATTCCTGAGTTACTTCACTTAGAATAATAGTCTCCAATCTCATCCAGGTCACTGCAAATGCTGGTAGTTCATTCCTTTTTATGGCTGAGTAGTATTCCATCATATATATGCATAATCATTTCTTTATCCACTTGTTGATTGATGGCATTTGGGTTGGTTCCATGATTTTGCAATTGGGAATTGTGCTACTATAAACATGTGTGTGCAAGTTTCTTTTTCAAATAATGTCTTCTTTTCCTCTGGGTAGATATCCAGTAGTGAGATTGCTGGATCAAATGGTAGTTCTACTTTTAGTCCTTTAAGGAATCTCCACACTGTTTTCCATAGCGGCTGTACTACTTTACTTTCCCACCAGCAGTGTAGAAATGTTCCCTGATCACCGCATCCACACCAACATCTACTGTTTTTTGATTCTTGATTACCATCATTCTTACAGGAGTAAGGTGGTATTGCATTGTGGTTTTTATTTGCATTCCCTGATCATTAGTGATATTGAGCATTTTTTCATATGTTTATTGGCCATTTGTATATCCTCTTTTGGGAATTGTCTATTTATGTGCTTAGCCCACTTTTTGATAGGATTGTTTTTTTCTTACTGATTTGTTTGAGTTCGTTGTAGACCCTGGATATTAGTCTTTTGTCAGATGTATAGATTGTGAAGATTTTCTCCCACTCTGTGGGCTGTCTGTTTACTCTGCTGACTGTTCCTTTTGTCATGTGAAAGATCTTTAGTTTAATTAGGTCCCAGCTATTTATTTTTGTTGTTGTTGCATTTGCTTTTGGGTTCTTGGTCATGAAATCCTTGTCTAAGCCAATGTCTAGAAGTTTTTTTTCCAATGTTATATTTTAGAATTTTTATAGTTTCATGTCCTAGGTTTAAGTCCTGAATCCATCTTGAGTTGATAATTGTATAAGGTGAGAAATGAGGATCCAGTTTCATTCTCCTATATGTAGCTAGCCAATTAACCCAGCACCATTTGTTGAAAAGGATGTCCTTTCTCCACTTTATATTTTTGTTTGCTTTGTTGAAGATCAATGGGCTGTAAGTATTTGGGTTTATTTCTGAGTTCTCTCTTGTGTTCCATTGGTCTATGTGCCTATTTTTGTACCAGTACCATGCTGTTTTGGTGACTATGGCCTTATAGTATAGCTTGAAATCAGGCAATGTGATGCCTCCGGATTTGTTCTTTTTGCTTAGTCTTGCTTTGGCTATGCGGACTCTTTTTTGGTTCCATATGAATTTTAGAATTGTTTTTTCTAGTTCTGTGAAGAATAATGGTGGATTTTGATGGGGATTGTGTTGAATTTGTAGATTATTTTTGGCAGTATGGTCATTTTCACAATGTTGATTCTACTAATCCATAAGCTTGGGATGTGTTTCCTTTTGTTTGTGTCATCTATGATTTATTTTAGCAGTGTTTTGTAGTTTTCTTTGTAGAGGTCTTTCAACTCCTTTGTTAGATATATTCCTAAGCATTTTATTTTATTTTTTTTGCAGCTATTGTAAAAGAGGTTGACTTCTTGATTTAATTCTCTGCTTGGTCGCTATTGGTGTAGAGAAGAGCTACTGATTTATGCACCTTAATCTTGTATCTGGAAACTTTGCCAAATTCTTTCATCAGTTCTAGGAGCTTTCTGGAGGAGTTATTAGGGTTTTCAAGGTAAATGATCATATCATCAGCAAACAGGAACACTTTGACTTCTTCTTTACCAATTTGGATGCCTTTCATTTCCTTCTCTTGTCTGATTGCTCTGGCTAGGACTTCAAGTACTATGTTGAAGAGGAGTGGTGAGAGTGTATTGTTCCTTGTATTGTTACAATTCTCAGAGGGAATGCTTTCGACCTTTCCCTATTCAGTATTATGTTGGCTGTGGGATTTTCATAGATGGTTTTTATTACATTAAGCTATATCCCTTGTATGCCGATTTTGCTGAGGGTTTTAATCACAAAGGGCTGCTGGACTTTGCCAATTGCTTTTTCTGCATCTATTGAGATGATCATGTGATTTTTGTTTTTAGCTCTGTTTCTGTGGTTTATCACATTTATTGACTTGTGTATGTTGAACCATCCCTGCATGCCTGGTATGAAACCCACTTGATCATAGTGGATTATCTTTCTGACTTGTTGTTGAATTCATTGAGCTAGTATTTTGTTAAGGATTTTAGTATCTTTGCTCATCAAGGATATCGGTCTGTAGTTTTCTTTTTTGGTTGTGTCCTCACCTGGTTTTGGTATTAGGGTGATGCTGACTTCATAGAATGAATTAGGGAGGGTTCCTTCTTTCTCAATCTTGTGGAATAGTGTCAAAAGGATTGGTACCAATTCTTTTTTGAATGTTTGGTAGAATTCTGCTGTGAACCCATCTGGTCCTGTACTTTTTTTTGTTGATAATTTTTTAATTACTGTTTCAATCCCTCTGCTTATTATTGGTCTGTTCAGGGTATCGAATTCTTCCTGATTTAAGCTAGGGGGTTTACATTTTTCCAGGAATTCATCCATCTTTTCTAGATTTTCTAGTTTATGTGCATAAAGGTGTTCATAGTAGCCTTGAAGGATCTTTTGTATTTCAATGGTGTCTGTTGTAATATCTCCTGTTTCATTTCTTAGTGAGGTTATTTGGATTTCCTGTCTTCTTTTCTTGGTTAATCTTTCTAATCATGTATCAATTTTGTTTATCTTTACAAAGAACCAGTTTTTTGTTTCATTTACCTTTTGTATTTTTGTTTGTTTGTTTCAATTTCATTCAGTTCTGCTGTGATCTTGGTTATTTTCTTTCTTTGGCTTTGTTTAGGTTTGGCTTGTTCTTGTTTTTCTAGTTCCTTGGGGTGTGATCTTAGGTTGTCTTTTTGTGCTCTTTCAGACTTTTTTATGTAGGCATTTAGGGCTATGAACTTTTCTCTTAGCACTGTCTTAGCTGTATCCCAGAGGTTTTGATAGGTTGTGTCATTATTGTAATTCAGTTCAAAAGTTTTTTAAAACTTCCATCTTGATTTCATTTTTGACCCAATGCTCATTCAGGAGCAGGATTTAATTTCAATGTATTTGCATGGTTTTGAAGGTTTCTTTTGGAGTTGATTTCCAGTTTTATTTCACTGTGGTCTGGGAGAGTGCTTGATATAATTTCAGTTTTCTTAAATTTATT